CTCTCTCTCTCTCTCTCTCTCTCTCTCTCTCTCTCTCTGTGGATGTATCACAATATAGCTATCACTGCAAGCGGGCGAGAACGTCCCGATCCTGTCGCGTTGAGTAGTCCGGAGACGGACGTCTCCCACGCGTGAAACCTACGGCCGAGGTCCCGCGGGATCAATCGGGACTGCACCCGAATTGAGACAGGGATCCAAGCGTGAGGGCAAACAAGCTCGATGACGGTACACGCGACGCGTCCGCACGACTCCTCCGTCGCACGCAGAATCGTCAGGAAACGCGCACGCAGTTCTTCTCACGCGCACGTACGGTGAACCGCGGCGAACAAAGGTGCGCGAGAGCCCGTTGCCGTGCGACGACGAAAGTTGCGCGAGAGAAAGATGCCCCTCCAAGTCAACAATACAACAGCATTCACGACAACGGCAACAACGATGACGATCAAGACGACGACGACGACGATGACGGCGACGACGACGGACGCACACGCACGTCTATCCGCCGCGAAAGTCTAGCAAAACAGCTGACGTACTCCCTTGCGTCAGCGATCTGACCGTCGCGCACGCGCGATCATCCGCTCACCTCGGCTCGGCTCCTCGCCTGGAATCCCTCGATTTAAAAACCACCTTCGGGGGAGCGTGATTAAGATTTCTCGGAAAGCAAGCGCGAGGCGTGCTCCGTTCGAAACGATTGCAATTGCTTGCGATGCGAACAAACCTACAAAATTAAATTAAATTAAAAAATCGAAATTAGATTAGATTGTAAAGGTGAAAGAGATCGGGAATAATAAATAATACTCCGCTTTTTCCCTAAAAAAAAACAAGTACCCAATCAAGATGTAAAACTTCGATATCAAGAAACGTTGCCTCGGTTGGCCCCGTTATTCGATCCTTCTTAGAATTCCAAGAGACTGTACCTGTTTGCTCGGAAACCGCATTAATTTTATTTAATTAAAACGTCGAGAGAAAAAGAAACTAACTTAAAATGGCAGAATTGGTCGAACAGTTTTATCGTCGGCGACGCGTTTTCATTACGTTACACGCAACCGCTTCGAGAACCTTCCTCGATAATATTAGAACGTTCACCTCGCAGATCAGATTGTGTGGTGAACGGGGAGTTTTCAACGAGCAAACGTACCGAGGAACGTTCTAAAAGATGACTGGTCAGATGGTAACTGGAGAGACCAGTCAACATGCACGTGGAGAACGCAACCACTCGCGAGGGACTAATCGGATTGATCGACCCGAATCTGTACACCAATCACACGCGATCCGTTCTTCAATGCTGCGTTATTGCGTTTTCTGGACGAAGCCGACGAATACGAGGACGCGAAAGATTAAACAAGATTAAACCAGGTCTGGCTAGGTCAAAGGGTTGTTCGAAACGTTCTAACCTTTGACTCTTGAATATACCTATGTTATTTAAGAAAAAAATAAGCGATTTTTTTCTGTTGGTGATTTCACAAAATTGAGAATTCAATATTACAATTTGAATGTAACTTTTGTCAATTTAATTAATTTTGCTGGTATTCGTAAAGCTTTAATTTTACACTTTTCCACATCCTTTTCCACTTTTTCTTCGAAATCTGAAAATGTGTTTTACTTTAAATGTAACCAGATGATTGCAAGTGGAGTTAAAAGCTTAAATATTTTACTATTTCTAGAAATAAATATGTAAATCGGAAAAAATCCCTTTGTTTAAAATTTTGCTGACTCACACGATTATGTGAAAATTATAATAGCATTACTCGTCAAACTTGCCGGATAAATACTACTTACTAGACATGTATCGCGATGCAATGTACACACATATATATATATATATATAATCAGGATGATGTCTGTTCAAGTATGCGTATGGTATGGTAGGAGAAATAGAGAATATGCCGATCCCATTAACGAGCAGTCTTTCTAACTGCGTACAGCATAAAAAAGCAGAGCCATCGTCAGTCATTATACGTTCGAGAAGGAGTTTGAAGTCCACGAAAAATGTCTGAAATAAATCCAGAAGTGCTCAAAGTATTTGGCTTTTGGAGTAGCATCTTGGTTCTGAAAATACTGGCGATGATGCCGTTAACTGCACGACAGCGATTTCGAAAACACGTGAGTAGAAAATAGTAACCATTCCAGATGAGATAACCATATTAGGCCCAAGATTTTTTTCGTTAAGTGCTGTAGATATAGAACAGAATATCTACTATGTATATGATAAGAGATATCTACTATGTATCTGATTAAATTGTTATAAATATTTTTTATCTTGAGACCGATTGTTACTAAACGCTGAATTTGAAACAGGAAATAATTTAAACATATTTAAATTCTTAAATGTTGCGGAAATATATTTTTCATCTATATATATGTATAGTACACTGAAAAAAAAGATTGGCTGCTGCAGCAAATTAGATGGTAAAATATGGCATAGCATTTTTAATTGGTTGTATCAGTCAATTTTTGGTTGTGTTAGCCTATCGAAATCCTATATTAACATTGCGGATAGGCTAACGCAACCAAAAATTGACTGATACAACCAATTAAAAATGCTATGCCATATTTTATCATCTAATTTGCTGCGGCAGCCAATCTTTTTTTCAGTGTATACACATATTTCTTCTTAATTAAATTAATAAGAGGACAGATTTTTATATATTCTCTAAAAACTTTAGATCTTACTCAAAAAAATAAAATCTCACTCCTAAAGATTGAAAATTTTCAATCTTTAGGAGTTAGAGACATTTTTTTCAAGACGTTCAATTTTCTCTCTTTAGAGTGACATTCCATTCCAAAGAATTTGGAAATTTATATATAGGTACTGTTTTAGCGTCACGTCAGAATTTATTAACTAAAACGAAACTGACTGTGATTAATTGTTGTAGGTATTGGCGAGTCCAGAAGATGATATGTTCATAAATAAAGGCAAAATGGTTTACAACGATCCAGATGTGGAACGTGTACGCAGAGCACACTTGAACGATTTGGAGAACGTTCTCCCTTGGTTCATAATCACGTACCTCTGGTTAGGAACAGGACCTTCGCCATGGTTGGCCAAAACTTTGATACAAACCTTTGTACTTTCCCGTATAGGTCACACTTTATCATACGTAATTTTTCAACAACAACCTCTGAGAGGAATAACTTTTGCTGTGGCATTTGGAATTACAGGTTACGAAACATTTAAGACATTATTATACTATTACTAATTGTTACATAAATCGTGAAATAAGCACATAGCTATGCAACAACAAATTACATAACATTTTTTTAATATTTGGTGATAAAACAATTTTCGTTATATATATCTACAGAGAAATATTGTACTGAATCTAAGATATATTGTATGAAAATGTAATATAGACGTATATATGTATATCTTCATAGAAAAAACATACGTGTCATTAAATGTATGATATTTTTGTTACATTAATGGAATAAATGAAAAACTTTATTCATGAGACGTTTTATTAGAGACATTAATAATGTTACATGTTAAAGTTGCCTGTTTTTTCTTGTAACTACATTTATATCACATATAAAGATAAAATTATAAAAAATTATAAAAAAAGCCTGGAAACTTTAAGTAAAAACCAGTTTTTATTCGGTTCTGAAAGTTCTTTACTCAGATATGTATTTTTTAATATTTGGCATTTTATAGCGCGGATATGTATTTTTTTTATATTATTATTCTAGAATTCAGTTTTTGTGAAATTTTTCATTTTATAATAAAAAAAAACAGTAAAATTGAGGCTAATGAGAGTTAGCGTGGAAATGGGTGAGCACAAATATTAATTCATACACAGTAGTTCGTAATAATAAATGATGTCAGATTTATTACGAATTCTTGAACGTTTCAACTCTCTTTGGAGTCTTCTTCAGCAAAGTTACAAATAATTCACACACAATATTGATTCGACGATTTGTCCAGGATGAATCACTCCCAGGTTTCCAATTGTAACGGATTTTATGAAAAATTATGAAAATCGTAAAAACATAATGAAGGAACAATCATCCCGGACAGTGAGTGACTCGCCTCGAAACAGACGCCATTTTCATTTTATCTAAAAGGTTTTTGTATAAAGATAGCCGTAAACGATTAAAGTGTAATACAACGACCATTCTCCCGAGCAGAAATTGGATCAGGCATGTCTGATGCACGATTAGGGTCCAATCAGATAAAAGTAAGGTCTACCTGATACGGTTTTTCTGAAATCAACCCCTGAACACATTGATAGAATACACCTGCCTGATGTAAACCCGATCAGGGTCTGAACAAACAGTAATAAGATGCGTCTGATAAGATGAAGATAAGAATATTGCCTGATATCATCCTTACTACACTGAAAAAAAAGATTGACTGCTGCACCAAATTAGATGGTAAAATATGGCATAGCATTTTTAATTGGTTGCAGCAGTCAATTTTTGGTTGTGTTAGTCTATCGAAATCCTATACTGACATTGCAGATAGGCTAAAGCAATCAAAAATTGGCTGCTGCAGCCAATTAAAAATACTATGCCATATTTTACCATCTAATTTGCTGCAGCAGCCAATCTTTTTTTCAGTGTAGTACCTGAACAGAAAATGACCAGGCGCGCCTGACAAAAACTGCCTGATGTAACCCTGATCAGGGCCTGAACAAACAGTAATGGGGTACGCCTGATAAGAATTGCCTTATATCATCCTATCGCACATTGGTTATAATATAAATAAACAATAAGTAACACACATTTATCAATTGAAGAAATGGCGTAATATGTAAGGCAAGAGACTAATGATCCAGAGATTCCAGGTTCGAATCCCACTAAGCTAAAAGTGTTTTTCAAAATCAAATTAAATATTTAATTTCGGATAAAATCATATACATACTATAAATAATTTTTATATGGAATCCTGATAAGGGCCTGAATAGATTCTGTGATAAGGACCTGATCTGGTTATTAGGGATACCTGCTAGGGTCCTTACTCATACCCTGATTCATTTTCTTAGCTATTACATTTTTTATAATTGTATGAATTGTAAGTAGCGGTGCTACGGATTCAATTTCGAAAAGGCGTTATCAACTAATTAAACACCGCAACAACGTAAACTTTTCCACTTATATATTTATAAATTTATAAAGACAAAAAACATTAAATAATACTGAAATAATGTGTAGATATTATACGTTTCAATAATGAATAACAAAAAAAATAAATTTTACATCTTTTTATTAAGATCTCATTAAAGAAGTTTTGCAAAAAATCAGTCTTTTTACTCTGTTTTTTTGTTTAAAAGTTATAAAAATCTATTTCATCTTTAATCGCATATATGGATTTCTTTCTATGTAAAATCTGTATACGTTTAATATATTTTCGGCCGCGCAAGCGTTTTAACACATTTCGAAGGCGCATACGCGAACTTTATCGTACATGGTCGTCATGACGGCACCGCGACGCCGACAGACGCGGGAATGTCAGACGTCGCGATGCGTCTGTGACGTGTAGTCGTCGTCGTCGGTGCCGCGTCATTCGACGATCGACCATCATTCCTTGATCTACACCCTCGCCGCGTTAATCGCAAAATTAACGTAACTCTTAATTTTCGCTGTGTTACTTAATACGTGTTAATTCAAAATGTTGAATTATAAACGTTTACAAGAACTAGTAATCACTGCTCAGTCTCGCGTGATGAAGATCGATAAACCAGAAGCGTAGAGATCAAGAAACACGATAACAGGTGGGTATAATTTTCTAATCTTATATAATGATAATGGATAAAAACTTCACGTGATATAAATTAAAAGTTTTAATTTATGAGGAAGTAAACGATTCACTTTTAAAATACGCCATATGTCAAAACATTTTTCTTTAATCGCGTGATATATTTTGCCTAATTTTAATATATATATATATTTATGTATAAAATTTTTTATTATTCTACACATAATTTTATCAGGTTGATCATATCTTTTTTTTTATCGCAAATTGCACATGCATAATAGTGCATTGTGTGGAAAATAAGCTGAGTTCAGGTACCAGCGACTGAAGAATGCAGGAGAAATTCCTTATCTTATATCCATGCAATTTTCTCCTTTGTTCCGACGACAAACACGGATCCCCGAGTTACTCGCGAATAGAATCAAGTTCGAGCAGGTCATTCCTGTACCTGTACCTCGATTTCCGTGAGGATCATGCTTTTTTCTTTTAGCGTGAACAAAAAGCCAGTTGAATGATTCTTTCTCACGTGCAACGATTTGCATAGGGTGATAGAAGTATCGAAGATTGGAATAAGTTTCCAACTTCTTTATGTTGACAATTTCTTAAAAGGTTCACTAAAAATTAAATCTGCTTTCTTAGTTAGCCATGTCATTTGTATTAATAATTAATTAATAACACATAAATGTTATCTAACAGCCTACACAGTCCTTCAAACCACTTAAAAATCGAGGGATATGTTCTCGCTTATAGAAAATTAAAATATATATTAATTACATATATTATTTTAATTTTATATTTACATTATTTTCATATTAAATTAACTCCTTAAATTAACAACGTGTTTTTAGTTGACATATTTTCTAGCGCCCGTAATACCATAACATGTTCGTCAACAGTGTATCAATGTTTGTCTACTTTCCGGAGCTTTAGACGTAATGAAATTTTCTCACGAACGGTGCATTTGGATAGAGTACATGTAGAAAAGTTTGTTAGTTAAAAGTCTTCGCATTTTTTAATTCAAAATCTCCACGTTTCATGGGATTATCGATTGCGCAATTAATTAATATTCCTATGAATGCAGGAATATTCATCGTTTTTTTTATAAAACTTTATCGCACAATCTTTCGTGTACCGTGTAGTATTGTGTAATACAATTATGAATTATATTAAAATCATAACTCACACACTGAGAGAGAAAAATGGTTGGACTTATAACTTATAATTTAACTATAATTTATAGTCATTTTTTAGGATAATCGTAAATTTATAATTGTTTTGACCATATGAATTATAATAACCTGAACACTGAATTATGATCATAACGATCATAATATTCATTCAACTAATTGTAGTTATCTTCATATGGGTGTCCAAAGGATTGACAAGGCCCCCCCCCCCTGGTTGAGAGATGCGTATGTGTTGAATAAAAGCGTGTGTTGGTGGGGTTAAAATTTAAAAATACAAAATATATACAAAAATAAAAAATAAAAAAACCCCAAAAAACGAAATATCATTCTCGATATTAATATATAAATAATATATAATATATAAATTTACCTTGTTAAGGTGAAAAAGCTTTTAACTAAAAAGTAACAGGTGTACGCATTAGAAATGAATAAGTGACGATAAAAAAGGTCATCAATTCGATATTATAGGAATGTAGGGTCACCAAGAAAGGAAATATTTGAACATTTTTTCCTTACGCGTGGCAAGTTGCCTCCCTCCCTTAGAAAAAATTCTGCGGACGCCCATGGTTATCTTACACATAAATCATATTTGCATATAGTAAATTATACTATAATGTTGTAACTATACATATAAGGTTATTGTTACTAATTACATTATAGCAATAATAACTAAATAAAAATGATGCTCCTACACTGAAAAAAGGATTGGCTG